TTAATGGTGTGGTAACGAAGGTAACGTGTGCCCCATGGGCCGCTAGGAGGAGGCCCAGGTCGACCATCGGGATTAGGTGGCCCTGAGCCCATACGGGGACTAGTACAAAGTGAGGCTCAAGTTTTTCCGGCATATTTCCGCTGGGGGGGGAAATGAAGGGGAGAGAGAGAGAGTTTGAAGATAGATGAGATGATACGTGGGAGCCTTTAAATTCTTCTAGCATCTTGATTTACTCGAGTCGTGACAAGTTCTTATATATAAGAGGTGAAAGAAATTAAGGTGACGCATGCACGGACGGAAGCAACATTGTCCTCAAGCCAAGTTGGTCCCTTTGGGCGTATCGCCGTACAAAAAAGCTAATGAGTTTGAGGCGATCAAATTAAGAGGAAATAAATCGCTCCTTATCTTGTTTTGTTTCAATTGAGATAGGATGACATGCGAACTTTTGTCACCTTAGCTCAATGTTTTCGAATTTGTGTAGGTGGGGGGACTGCTTTTGGTGAAGAGAAGCTATGTTTAGTAAAGTAACTTACTCATTTCCAACCCCAACCCCCACAACAAACCCTCCCCCGCCCCCAGCCCCCGTATTTAAATAAGACCTGTTTGCCAAAAGAATATATGATTTTAGAGGAAAATTTTGGTATTAAAGGAATATTCTACAGCCCGTGTAGGATCTATATTGTACATGGTATTGAACAAACAAATTAAAATAAATGCACAAAATACTATAAAATACATGCAATGATTTGTCGGCCCGTTAATATCAAGATTTCGTATCGACCCCACTGGGGTCTCTCCGTAACAATAAAACTATAGAGGGTCTATTTGCAGTTGGTGCCGGTAAGCGGTTTATCCACAACTAACTTTTAAAAATAAAAACAACGAGAAGAGGCCGGAGCCGGAGATTTTGTTGATAGTAAAGGTAACTATTATTTACTGAAGTGATCGCTTAATGGGCCAAACTGGCTTTTAAATCAACTCTACCATGTTTGAGATCCTGCGCGCACCCAACTATTGGAAACATTTAAACGGTCCCTGTGTGGATTTCCCTAATCTGTAGTCTCGTACAAGACGTCCGCTCGGTCCAGAAAGCGGGTCTTGATATTGGGCCCTTTAGGTGGCTGTCCATCGGGCCAAAATGGGTACAATGATCGGCTAAATTGCCCACGAAAAATTCGTAGATTGGTTCTAGTCCACAGTGCAAGTCCATATACATCCGCTCTTTTTAAATCTTTTCACTAAATCAGAACACAGTAGGCCGATCTTTTAGCGAAAGTTATGATTATTCTATAGTAAATAAACTAGCTTAAGACCCGTGTGATGCGCTGGTTTGTTGATTACCGAGCTCGTAACCTTTTTTCCAAATAGATGCCCTTTTATGCTTGAAACCCATAGATTGAATTTGGTTTTATTTAGAAATAATTAGAGCCACTCATGAAATCAAAAACCAACTCAAATTCTTACAACAATAACATTCTATTGATCAGTTTACACGTAATTTTTAGTCTTTTCCACTGCATCAAAATTTGAACTTTTAGTGAAAGGTTTAATTCTGTAGTAAATAAATGTTCGTACAAGCTGAGGGCCGAGATAGCTTGTATCTCTTCTCCTAGATCCACTCTAAATTTGTAATCACTGGCATTTAAATCTTTTGATATCATCTGATACTCCCTTCCACTATGTAAAAATTTCAAAAGGTTTGGTTAAGGTTATGATTCTACCTCTAACGTCTCCACATCTAAGTGTAGCCATGCTATTCGGGTGGACATAGATAGCATATTATTTTTTTTCTCTCTCTTTTTCGCTTTTCTTTATTCTTGCACTCATTGTTATTGCCATTGAATTCTACTGTTGCGTTTCTAAATGCCTTAAATCATAGACATTATTATTTTTATTAAGTTGAACATGATAAGGCTTGATTTAAAAAACATGCAAACTAAGAAGAGTTCATGCCATAAAAGAACTAATAGTATGGCCCGTGCCAAGCACGGGCTAGCCAAAAATCGAACACTATTAACATTAATATTGCGTCTATCTATATAGATTTTATCATACAGTATAATATTGTTAACACTTGGAACTTGAAATACATATAGTGCATAAAATAAACAAACTATTATTTAAGAATACCTTTAATTCATACATTATTAATTATTATTATATGATATATTGTAAAGAGAAACTTGTATTTTATAGAGAAATAATGCGAAGACTTAAGCAAAATTTAAGTCTGTTATACTGGAATGACTTATTTGCCAAAAAAGCAAATTGTATATTCTTTGTAAACAATATTTGATTTCTTTAACTTTGCAACAAAATATGTTATTATATGCAGTTTACTGAAATATGAAAGACTTATTCGTAAAAGCCTAAAGCTTTCTAGATCGGTCGATTCATTTACCTTGGAGACAACCCCATTAAGGTCATGCATATCCCTTCCCTCTTCGCCTTTCTCTTTTCTAGACTCGTCGAATCCTTGCCTCGGAGAAAATCCTCATTAATGTCCTTGTAGGCGTCTAAAAATGCCTATAGGTATCCACACACAGCTCGAGACAGAGAGAAGACGACGGACATTGTTATCCGAGTCTAAGAGGATTATCTGACGCCGACAAGCGCCTGAAGCAAAACGGCGAATCAAGTGACCTGCGCGCTTGACAGTTAGCTCGCGCGCGCCAATCAGCTCGCATGCGTCAATCAACACACACGCGTCAATCAACTCAAAGCATATAAATCAACGAAGCGAACCAAACACACGAAAGGACAAGTATCAAAGAAAGAGAACGGAAAAGAAAAAAAAATCAACAAACCTGCGCGAGCGCATGACAGAACAAACTGACCTGCGCGAGCGCGGGACGGAACAAACCGACCCGCGCGAGCGCGGGTCGGATTGGTCCGACCCGCGCAAACGCGGGTCGGATTGGTCCGACCCGCGCAAGCGCGGGTCGGAGTTGTCCGACCCGCGCAAGTGCGGGTCGGACTGATCCGACCCGCGCAAGCGCGGGTCAGACCAGTCTGCCGCGCTGTTTTGACCCCCTGATGTGTATTTCGACGGTTTTAACGGTTTTCTCGAGATCTTTTCAGTTCCAGAGGTTTCTAACTGACCTGATATCATCCCCAAACGTGGTTAGGCTGTTGTCAACTGAAGATAGAGCCAAATCACTTGTTCTCATCCAAATAACCGCATTCGAGGCCTATAAATATGAGTCAAAGGGCCTCCATTTTTGGGGGGCGATTGATTATCAAGACGAGGAGGTGCTGCCGGATTGTGGAGTCAAAGGAGCACGAATTTCAGCGAGGGTTGACAGATCTTGGCGAGTTCTTCGGCATAAAGAAGGAGAGTTCGAGAGATCCGACGCCCGTTCCCGTCCCTTGAGATTAGGCTTGGTCTTAATCTCGAGAAGAGCCCTGATTTCGCTTGGTCGATCTCAGCGCTTCAAATCAAATACTTCCTCGGCGAAGACGAAACTCTGCCGAATTTTCCATCAACCGGATCCAGATCTAAGGCGGTCCACGGATAAACCCCGGCACAGGCAAAGATCCCACGCAAGCAGAAGACCGATAAACGATCTCTGCGTTTGTTTTGACGAGAGTTGTAAACTTTTGTTTTCATTGTGTAAAAGTCTTATAAAAAGACAATCTTTTTTTGTTTTCATTGTAACGATTGAAGTTGTAATGAATACCGCAATGAATACATCAATTTTCGACGCAAACAAACTGGCGACCACAGTGGGAGCCAACAGCTTCGCTGCCGGAGCTGTCGTGTCGCAACCTCGGATCTGCATCCCGGTTGAAGAAGTGGTCGAATACGAGTTCGACCAACTGAAGTTCGAGGAATATCTGTCGTCCTCCTCCTCCAGATCCTCCGCCTCTCGCAAGCGAAGGAAGATCAACGCCCCCGTTGTTGCGCTAGCTGAACCTTACAACGCCCTTCCGGTCTCCAATGAGTCCGGATCTGCAGATCTGAACTCCTCCTCAATCAAGGAGTTGAGTACAGAAGGCGCGCCTATTTTATCAAAGAGAACTCGTCAAAGGCAGCGCCAACGCTGTGCGCGCCAACTCGCTAGAGCATTAAAGTCAATTGGCGGGATCCGTTACGAGGCGGATCTGAAAATTAGGCAACGCCAAGCACCCCAACAGCGGACAGATGTCCTCCCCTCCAAACCAATAGCAAATGAATGGATCCAAATCAAAAGGATCCGTTCAACTCTGGAGGAGCGAATTCAAAAGCGCCGCGCGCTTGCGCGCACGCGAATTCTTGTGCAAAAAGCACAAAAGATGCAGAAGAAGGACATAGCTAAGAAACAACCAAGACTGCATCAAACTTGGAGGCCAAAATCCAAAACGGCGGCCGAAAAGATCGAGAATCGCGGGTCACTTGAATCCGACCCGCCGGCGCGCGGGTCACTTCAATCCGACCCGCCAATTTGCAGGTCACTGCCAATCCGACCGCCAAATTGCAGGTCACCAATACGACCCGCCAATCTGCGGGTCACTCAATCGCGGCCCGCCGGTCGTCGGGTCACTCAAATCGAGCCGCGCCATTCTGCAGGTCGTCCAAATCCGACCTTGCCAATACGGGTCACTTGGGTCGACCCTCCAATCTGGGCGGATCCAAATCCCGACGCCGCCAAATCTGCAGGTCGTCGCAAATCTAACCTTCCAAATCACGGGCGTCACTTGGGTCCGACCTCCAATCTGAGGTCATACACAAAATCGCGACGCCCAA